TGAACAACCCCCTTTAAATTTTCAATAGCACTTCTGAGTCACCCCATTTTCCCCTCCAGTCTCCTGTTTTCTCTCCACCCTCAAGTCCACATAGTCCTGATCCTGGCATAGTCCTGATCACCTTCCTTGGAGCACTGTGAGGTTTATCAAACTGGTATTTTCTAAGTTGAACTAAATAATCCAGGTGCAATCCAAACAGTTAGGACGAGTCAGACTGTGGACCAGGACACTGTGTATATCAGTGCACACTCGTAGTTTTAGTTCCCATCCCTTGCTCATGCCTCACCCGTGGCTTTGGCCACCTTTCTCCTGGCTATTGCTGTAGCCTTATAAGCAGCCTCCCTGCATCCACACGTGCTTTTCGCCACAACCCCTACACATTCCCCAGGGGGCAGCCAAAGTGGCCTTTCTAAGCACAGAACTAGCTCTGACACCCCCATGTGAAAATGTGTTAGTCAGCTTTTTGGCTGCTGTGACTTCGAGACCTGACCAGCACAATTGTAGAGGAGGAAGAGTTTATTTGAGGACTAATCATTTCAGAGGTGTCAGTTCCTATCTAGAGATCAGGCTCCTTGTCTTGGGGGCTCCAGGTGAAACTGAACATCACAGCAGAAGAGTGTGGTGGAGGGAAGTGACTCACATGATCAGAAAACAGAGACTCCACTCTCCAGAGACAAATAGAGACCCCAAAGCCACGCCCCCCAATATCCCCTCCTCCAGCCACACCCACCTGCCTCCATTCACCCCCAGTTCATCCCATCAAGGGATCAACTCATTGGTTGGATTAAGGCTCTCATAGCCCAATCATTTCTCCAACCTTCTCACATTGTCTCAAACATGAGCTTTTGAGGGATACCTCACCTCCAAACTACAACAAAAACCCTTCAATGGGTTTCCATTACTTATAGGAAGACAAAACTTTTCATTGGCCCACAAGGCTGGAGTGGCTTGGCTCACGTTACTGATCCAGCCTTATTTTGCACCATTTTCTGTCTGGAGGTTTACATATTAGCACACTTAGTCTTTTTTCCTTTACTCAAACCTGCCCACCTTTTCCCACTCTGTTCCACCATTCTAGAACGCCTCGCCCGGCTCCACCATTTTGTCTCTTCCTGTTCATCCATTAGATTTCCTCCCAAGTGACACTTCCTGTAGGGAACCCCTGAGTTCCTGTGTTCTCTCTGCACCACTGGACTCCCTAGCATTTGTAACATCATTGTGTGATTACCTGATGGATGTTTGTCCCACTCTCCACACGAGAAGTATTAAGAGGATAGGAACTCTGTTTTTTCCTTACCATTGCATTTTCTGTAAAAACCTGTCACAAAACAGGATCTTGGTAAATACTTGTGAAATCCATACTGGTATCTAAACCATTTTTCTTGACTATCAAGTTTATTCTTATATATGTCTCAGTTCTGTCATCCAACCTATTCTTTCTGTCACTCAATGTCTTCCAAAAATTTGGAAAGTATACCCGCTGTACCCAGAGGCCCTCCCTGTATTACAGCTTAGATAGAGCACAGCTGAAGATGGAACTCTTTGGTCCTCCATTAAAAACCATCACTTTAAGGTGATCTGATGAATCTAAATTATTTTAATTTTAATCCAGTGATAAACATGTATTCGATGCATAAAAATTCAGTCACTAGCATGTTATCCCTGAGATCTGATTTACACTCATGTGCGGCTATCTCCCATCTCCGTTTTCCATGACAGACATGGCTGGTGGACCACAATTCTTTTGCCCACTGAGTGTCCATGTGAACTTAAATTCCTTCTCAATAATGCACTCCAGGCCGTGCTCCCAGTCAGAATCAGCATGTGATGTATAACTCATTGGTCTTCTTAAGATTTTCATTATCCACTTAACCAGAAAGGTTTTCAAACAATCTATTCCTATCTTTACCTGATATTCCCTAACCCTGGAGTTATTCTGCGACCATCTCTGACTCTAAAAGGCAGCTTCCCTCTTCTGCAAATCATCCCTGACTGCAGTGAGATCGGGACCGCTCCTTGTACACAATCCTGACTCACACCCCCACTTGAGCTGATGAAAATCTTACATCAAGTGACAACCATGGTAGAATTTTTAATTAAATAGCAATGATTTCTGCCTTTAGCCATAGCAGACTCGGTTGTTTAACAATGAACTTCCCTCTGAGAACATCCAGAAAAGCCAGAGAAAACATGAACAGCATTGGATTGATGCCATTGGAGAGTTTCCAAGGCCATGAGGAATCATGGGGCTTTGATCCAAGAGAAGGAAAGCCAGGGGAGGTAGCCGTGCCCATCATGCCACTGTGCTCAAGAAAAATGCCACTTCAGAAAGCAGCAGCTGAGAGGCTCAAGGGCTGAGCACAGTGTATGACACCACTTGACCTTGGAGGACACAGATTGGAGGTCAGAGCCCACGAAAAGAGGGCACCATGATGAGTTTCAGAATACTCCACCTCAGGTAAAAGAGTGAACCGGAAATAGACCATCTCTCTAGGGAATCCAAGACCCACTGTGGGTCATCCTAATGGACAACAGGGCGAGGGGACTCAGATCCCACCATGATTGCCAAAAGCATGGGAATCCCATCTGGGAGGAAGAAAAGACCACCTAGAGCAGCTGTCCAGTCGAAGAAATAGAATAAATTTAAGCCATTAGTGGAATTTTTTATTTTTCTAGTAAACACATTAATTGAAAACAATAGGTAAAATAAACTTTAGAAACATTATTTCAGTTAACACCAGTATATCCAAAATATCATCATTTCAATGGGTAATTGTTGGAAGAACTTTTCCTCCATCAACTTAGATTCAAGTGATCGGGGGTCTGCAAATTAATTGGCTACAGAAAAATCAACAGAAGTAGCTCGTGGCATGTGCATTTAGGTGCATTCTGGAAAGAGCGGCTCTCCAAACAGCCATGGAAAAGCTCCATATGTCAGCTTCAGGATGGGACCTCCTGATAAGGCTTATTTACACAGTTCCTTGGAATGTCCACAAACTGATGGTCAGTTGTCCCTGAGCTGGAGACTTCCCAGGACACCTGAGACAAGGGCAGGTAGCAGCTCAGAAAAGGCTCTGCTTTAGTCAGATAACGGACGCTCAGATAACATTGATTTCTGTATCTGCTGTTTGTTCACAGCTTTCCAATGTGAAGCAGTCTCTACGCCATTCTGGTGGTTTGTTGGTCCCTTCATAATTAAGATTAATATTTCTAATGAGTTATTTTACATTTTTAAAATATTAAGTCCTTGAAGTCCCGTGTGTGTTTTACAGTTGCAAGCCATCTCAGCCCGCACTAACCCCAGTTCAGGTGCTCAGAAGCTCCTTGTGGCTGAAGGTGACCATGACACTCATCCCAGGCAATAGAATAAAACATTGAAGAATAGACTCATGACCTTGGGGTAGGAAAAGATTTCTTAATCAGGTCTTAAATTTCAAAGGAAAATATGGATAAATTAGACCATATTAAAATCAGGAAGAAATGAAAGGACACCACTCAACTCCAAAGAAGTAAAAAGGCGCATCATAAAATAGAAGGAGATATTTGCATCACAAGAAGGACCCACATCCAGAATACAGAAGAAACCCAAAAGGATAAACAGCCAGGTAACTTAAGAGTCATTTCACGAAAGAATATATTTAAATGGTCAGTAAGCAGATGACAGTGTGCACAGACTCATTAGACATCACAGAAATGCACATCAAAAATATACTGGAATTCCACTACATGCCGTCACAATGGCTAGGATATAAAATACCAATTTTGGTGAAGTTGTAGACTAACTAACAGCTGCTACTACAACTGATGTGACTACTTTGGAAAACTGTTTAGGTGGCATCTATACAAGCTAAGCAGACCATATCCTTTGCTCCAACCACTACCATCCTAGATGCATAACCCATAGATGGCTTCCAAAGTCATGTAAAAACTGTAAGGACCCATCTAAGACCCAGAATTGGAATTAGGATTAGTTGATGTTGTTGTTTTTTGAGTTTTGTTTTTGTTTTGCTTTGTTTGGTAACAGGGATTGAACCCAGGGACTCTTAACCACTGAGCCACATCCCCAGCCCTTTTTATTTTATATTTTGAGACAGGGTCTTGTTAAATTGCTGAGATTGGCCTCAAACTTGCAATCCTCCTGCCTAAACCTCCCAAGTCACTGGGATTACAGGTGTGCATCATCATGCCTGGTAGTATTAAGATATTGTAAAGTAGGGCCGGGTGCAGTGGCACACACCTATAATCCCAGCAGCTCAGGAGGCTGAGGCAGGAGTAAATCTTGCAATATCAGAAAGAGCAAACCATCAGACGTAAGAATCCGATGCGAGTTCAAAGCCAGCCCCAGCAAAAGGGAGGCCCTAAGCAACTCAGTAAGACCTGCCTCTAAATAAAATACTCTAATACACAGATGATTTTCACAAATGTAATATTCCAGAAAGAAGCTAGACGTCTGAGAATATGTACTATAGGATTCCATTCCAATAAGTTCAATCACAGCCAAACGGATGTGGGGAGAGGAGAGCGTGACCATTAGGAGGAAGGAAAGTATCTGTCTTCTGACCCAGGTGGTGGTAACTGTTCACCTTGGGGACATTCACTGAGCTACATATTTTTGCAGTTTTCTATGTGTTTGTTACACTTCAGTCAATGAATTTATTAGTGGGAATCATCAGTGAGATTCTTAGTCTGCCAGTTTGCTCTTTCTGATATTGCAAGATTTCTTTGTCTTTCTACCATTCTTATAATTCTTTCTGTAAGCTTTCTGTAGAATGAGGACCATATTTATAGTTGAATAGCAGCTGGAGTAATTCTGTGAATAATAACAATGATGATGGTAGCTTGGTGACTAGGGAGAGTTACTGCCGTCCCTTGGCAAGCCCAATTTTGCTCACCAGACTGGTCCAACCCCTGTAATCTCAGTGGCTCAGGAGGCTGAGGCAGGAGGATCACGAGTTCAAAACCAGCCTCAGCAAAAGCGTGGTGCTAAGCAACTCAGTGAGACCCTGTCTCTAAATAAAATATTAAAAAAAAAGGGCTGGGGATGTGGCTCAGTGGTCGAGTGCCTCTACTTCAATCCTTTGTACCAAAAAAAATAATGGTTTAACCAACAAAAGAGTTCTGATTATTTCCTCCCAGAGTTTTAGAAATAGGATTTTATCGTCTGTGTGCTTAAAGTCCGTTTATCACCCACATCAGTGTTCTATCACAATATTTTTCATTAACTGAAAAGTTACAATTAACATACTCTGCAACTGCTGGGAAATAAATCTAGTCAACTAAATATCCTGTCAACTTTCCCCCAGTTCTTTATTTTCTTGTGTAGCCAGCCAACACTGGGAAGAAATTAAATTGTCATTCACCTCACAGAGCCTACTTTTTAGCATATCATTTGTTTTATTTGACTACTGAACATAAAAGTATAACCAAACTTTGAAAAGAAAATGGAAATCAGTACATAAATATGGTATCTTATTATTCTGACACACTTAATGATGAAAATGATACCCTGTAGTTATCCTTTACAAAAGCCCAGAAAGCTAAATTAAAGCATTAAATTAAACTCCACCTACTCTTTCTGCAACATTAAGTTCCATCATTTCACAGAAAGGTCTAGATGATTTTATTTTGTATTCTAATTTTAAGGCAATTATCCTCTAGTTAAAGTTCGAAAAGGCGGCAAAGTTTTCTGCTCTTGATTTGCTAATGACTTAAAAGTTACAAAGTCCTTAACTCGCAGTCATCTTTTAACTCTTCAAAAAGTGTTACATAAAGCTGCTTGGGAACAAGTCTTTTTTTTCTGTAATTTCAAATGACAATAACTACTAGCACTATTACACATGGTAAACTTTACTGGGACCTGTGTGGCCAGGGGTGGGTTTGTTTTTTGTTTTTTGTTTTTTTTTGGTTTTGGGGTTTTTTTTTGGGGGGGGGGCGGGTCTTGGAGCTTCCTGAAGTCACCGCTCATCTCTGCTCTTTGGATGAAAGTTATTTTTCCTACATGAACTATCAAGGGGAAGAATTGAAATGGCCATGCTTATAGAGTTCAATGTTAAGAAATTGAATATGAAAAAGCTTTCACTTTATCCTGGCCTGACTTTGAATATTTAGGGGAAATTCTCAATTTGTCGCTGTAGCTAATGGCACGACAATGTCACACTTCTCTGTTTAACATTCAGCTTTGTTAATCAAGAAAACCAATGATTGGCTCTTTGCATGTTGATTAAATTGATTGCAGCTGTAGGCCTTGATAGCACTTTTTTCCAAGTGTCTCTAATTAATCAGACAATGCTTGATTAGCCCTTTCTGTTTTGAGGAGATAAACTGACTTCCTTGAGAATTTTCACCCCAAAATGATTCTCCTCCAGTGAAAGGTAGAGGGCGAGTGAGTCACTGCCTGGTTTTCTGTGAGGCTGAGACCTTTTGTCCTCCAGCAGCTAGGAAAAATAAGGAAAAAAGAAAGATCCTTTGAAAAGCAAATTAAAACATAATATTAAGCTTCTTTTCACATACTCACATGAATACATCTCTGAGATGAAAAAAGTCTGTGCTCCCTCCCTCTGAGTAAGCCTGGCTTTCCCCTCTATTGTAAGGCAGATTTCAACTTTCCCGTGGTAACCATTCTTTGTCAAGTTATATTGTTTCTCCCCCATCCCACCCCACCCCCTTCCCCGGGCAGGGGGACTGGGGATTGAATGCAGGAGTGCTCTACCACTGAGCAACATTCCTAGCTTTATTTAGTTTTTATTTTGAGAGCAGATCTTGCTAAATGGCTGAGGCTGGCCTTGAACCTCTGGTCCTCCTGCCTCAGCCTCCCAAGTCATTGGGATTACAGGTGTGCACCCTTACACCCAGTTTAAGTTGTGTCATTCACTTGTCAGACTTGGCACCACAGAGTTCAGCTGGAGAACCAAATTCATGAACACATCCCAGTGGTTGTGGAGGCTGAGGCAGGAGGATCGCAAGTTCAAAGCCAGCCTCAGCCAAAGCAAGGCCCTAAGCAACTCAGTGAGACCCTGTCTCTAAGTAAAATACAAAATAGGGCTTATCTATAGCATTAGATAAAGCAGTTTTCATTTATGTAAATAAAATCTTGACAATTTCCAGGAACATTACCAAAATTCTCAAAGATCCAGAATGTTCTGCTGTCATTGTTGGAGTTTTATTTCCAGTCGGGGGGTGAGGGGCTGCTAGGAGCAGCTGAGATGAGCAAATTGACACGGAGAAAAGAACCCATTTTCTTCTTTCCTCCTCACTGTAAGAGGAACCAATCTAGCATCTATGTCCAGTAAGCATTTACTACCCCAAATACTTGTTTCAGATATTTTGAAGATGTGTTTCAGAAGTCTTATTGTAGATCTCATCATATTTGGAATCTCCTGAAGAGAAAGACTCCCCTCTTTAAAGAAAAAGAGCGTTCCTAAGGCTGGGAGTGTAGCTCAGTGGTAGGACACATGCCTAGTCAAAAAAAAAAAAAATTGTCAGGGCAGAAAAAAAAAATTTAGTGCAAAAATAAAATTCACCCAGGGTAAGTTACAGTTTCTTAGACACTCATCAGAATCTTTCTTTAGCAAATATCTTTTATATACATATTTTTCTATATAAAAAGGATATTATTAAATTGTTCTTCAATTCACTTTAAATTTTTACCAAATAGATCTTGGATCTTTCTGAATTTATACCTATCAACTGACTTACATTTTCCGTAAGCTGCTGGAAGTTAATCCATTGTTTGGACATACCATGGTTTATTTATCCAGTTCTCTGAGGTCGACATTTAGGTGATCTCCAGTTTTTTCAGTTACTGTAAATAGTGTTGTGATAAATATCCTTGTTCACATATTTGCCTAAGGTTGGGCTAGGAAGTGTGCACAATGAACTTCTAGCAGGAGAATTGCTGCTCAAAGGTCATTTTGATGGATATCATTGAATTGTTCACTGGTTTATACTTCTGCCCACGGTGTCTGTAGCAGACCCTCTCCCTACCTTACCCTCACCAAGTTTTATCAGCCTTTAGAACATCTGCTAACCTGCTAAGTCTCAGTGATGTATAGTTACTTTAATTTACGTTTCTATAGTTACATACAAGGTCAAGCTTTTTTTGTAGTGGGAGGGAGAAATTTCTATTTCTTCTCACTCTGCCCATTCATATCTGAGCCTACTTTTGGGGGACCAGGCTTTATATTTATTTATTTATTCAAGATCCTTACATAATCAACACAGTATGGTGCACATAGAACCATTTAAATTCAACGTAATACATGGGACATACAAAAATAATCTAAAATGTTTATTAGAGTATAAAATCCTTGAATGAAGCATCACTAGAATGCTTCCCATTCAAAGAATAATATAAATGAGATGTCTTCTCAGGAGATTTTTGTACATTATGTAGGGAAGGAAAGACTCCTCTACTCTCTCAGGTTCTGTGACTGGAGCCTCTGAATCAAATTGACTAAAAACAGATTAACAGGAGAAAAGCACTCACATTTCTATTTAATGTTAATATTTTAATTTTTACATGTGCATGGAGGCCTTCATAGAAAAGAACTGAAGGTCCAAAAAAGGGCTAGATCTGGAAGCTTATATACCATCTTAACAAAGAAAGATAAACAGTGGAGTTACAACAAGACAGAGGTAAATGGGGCTTAGGTTGGAGGCAGCAAATTGTGGGATAGTGATTAGGAAATGTTAATAAGGTTTGTTTACACAGAGTCATCTCAATGTCAAATCCCCATCGTAGGTGATAAGAATATTCTCTTCTCAATATAAAGAAAGCATCTTTGTCTGCTAGGAAGGAAGTGGGAGGTTAGATCGCTCTTCCTGCATCTACGCACCTCATTGCCTTCAGCTCAAAGTGATCAGTATGCTAAAGTGATGTATTTGCAGGTGGCATATTCTGTTCCCCTTGAATTACAACCTTATTTTGACACAATGGAAAACAGATATTGTCAAGGGGAAGGTTCTATGTTTCTTTTCATGTATTTCCATAACCTATGTACTAAGTTTCCAAAATTAAACCACCATGCCTTGCCTATAACACAAGCTCCTAACTAATCTTCAGGGCCCCTCTATTCCCCACCAATCCATTCTGCACCCACTTGCCACTGTGATCTTTGTAAAATGCCACTCCACTATTGGTCTAGCTGAAAATCTTTCGATAGATCTCCAGAGCCTTCAGCGCCCCTTGGTTTTCCTTCCAAGCATCCTTCTTTCTTCAGCAACTGACTACAGTCTCATCATTTTGTACACAAGGAGTACCCCAAGCACCCTCACAACTTCTACTATGGTGCATGCTGTTCTTTCTAGAATACTCTTCCATCTGTCCTCTTGTTGCCTCATTCTCATCCTTTGGTAATAACCATTTTGTGACTTTCCTTCCCAAACTGTTCTCCCCATTGTACAAGGTTCCCTGGGCTCACCTCTAACCCATGCTTCACTCTCTATCCTTCCCTGTAAACTGGGACCGTGTCTTGCTCCTTTGTACCCAGCATAAAATTTGCAACACTACAGGAGCTCAATAAACATTTATTCAGTGTGAAATCATAAAATAGTGAAGCTGATAACAGAAGAGAGAGAGAAGAAGCAGTCAGACTTCTGTGTTGTCAACTAGCTAGGCTGTGTCGCATTTGAACTTGACACCTGATGCCTGGATTTGTACCTCCAGGATTGAACGCTCTGTCATAGCTACTGAGGCAACGTCTAAAAAATAGTCCTAAAGTGCCACGACATTAATATTTTCTTAACCTGAGGGAAAATACTGCCAAGCAAGGAAGACATTCAGTTCTAGAGAGAATGTACAAACTATATTTAAATGAGTATAAAGAAGTTAATGCTTTTGAGATTTCGTGGAGCACTGAACACTTGGCAGGAGAGGGATCATCTCCGTTTTATGGATTTCCTGACAAAAGATACGAGCAGGAGAGGTGCTTTTTAGAAGCCAAATGAAGAAAGAAAAATTATTTCCCATCTGTATGCGTGCTTGCTACCTGTCTCTAAATAAGCCTGGATTGAGGTGAGAGGAAAATACAGTATTTGTTTATGCTTTGCTTTTGCTTTTGAAAGAGATGGGATCCTACTCCAGATGTCTCCGTAATGTAATCATCCCCTGGGGAGCACTTTTGGGAGTGGGAGGAGGAGAAATGTCTGGCAAACACAATGCTCACCTCATCCTCAGCTAGTTTGCCTTTTCAAAGTTCTGTGATTCCTCCCATCGCTCTTTTCTGACCTTAACCCAAAAAGTTCTTCCTCAGAGAACTCCTGGGTTTTCAGTGTTTTTGCTCCCATTTTGAGTGCCTTAGCCTTAGCCTTCCTATGAACAGCCATCCATTCGTTCATTCATTCATTCATTCATTCATTCAGAATCTAGTGTTTGTGAAGAAGATTGACAGGACGGCCTTCCCTATGGAGCCTAGGGTCGCTGTGGATGGGGGTAGATGTGACTCAGTCCCTCAGGCGGGAGGATGATTATACAGTGAGATGTCCTTTTGGAAGTCACCAGGGAATCTGTCCAGACATCTTCTCCCCGCCCCTTTGGATCCACCCTCCTCCTTCTCCATCCTTCTCCCAGAGGGGCTGATGGACCTGAATACGTCAACCACTCCCTTGCCCTTGGGCTCCTGATGGGGCTCAGTCACTGGAAACGAGAGGGCAGAGATGCCCGGGGCACCCTTCCCGGGCTCCCCCTCTGTGGGACCAGCTCAGCCTCACTGAAAATGCAGGACTGCGGCCACAGCGCCCTCCCAGGAGGCCCCCTCTCCGTGCCTTTTGCTGTCTGGGTTTTGGGGTTCCTTCCTTATTCCTTAAGGTAAGGCTTAGGAGTGACATCAGTCCTGGAGTTATTCCCTGTCTCTTGGTTCCCCTATACCTGCCCTCATGTCTGTAAGGAGTCCTGTCTTAAATTTGCCTCAAGTCATCCTGATTTGAATTTGCCAGGCGTTTCCTGATGTCAAGTGACAGAGAACTAGTGGTAGATTTAGGACATGAGGAAGACGCCTTTGAAGTGGAATTTGAGCAGAAAGCTGAAGACCAAAGGACAGAGGAAACTAGACCCCTGTGAGAAGGGGACCAAGGTTGTGTCTCTCTCTCTCTGAAGCTTGAGGGCTGTATGTTAGTGACAGAAAAAGGGGCAGAAACCCAGTGGGCAGAGATGGAGGAACCGGCTGTGCAAGGCTTTAAGTCAGTGTAGTGATTTAGGATTTGACCCTAAAATTGTAAGCGAATTTTGAAAAGCTCACTCTGGATTGGATTACAGGGAATCCAGAATGGGGAGAAACCAAGGAAGAGATGCTGGAAGAATAGACGAAGATGGTGGGTTTGGAGATAATGCCGGCATATTCAAGAGCTCAGGCTAAGGCTTAGTACTGGATACCTAACTATTTCTAGCACATCTTCCCATAGAGGAACTCCCAAGACCTCAGAGTCCTTGTGCTGCACTGAACCCCTGCATCATCCACATTGTCCCAGTTTCCCTGTTCATTCAGCGGGGTCTATACTGGGTCTATGACCCAGAGTCCAGATTTCAAGGTATCCCATTCTGTCTTCAAACTGGCTTCCTTCATGTGACAGGAAGTGTGATCAGGAGCGACTCCTGAGTTTCATTTCTTTTGGCCTTCATCTTCACTGTAGGACTGTCTTCTTTTCAGATCTAGTTTGAGAAAGTCCTGGCAAGGGTAATGATTGGCCAAGGTTAGGTGGGGTGTCCGCCTCTGGACTAATGAACTGATGGGCAGGAATTTTCCTAAGAATCTTGAGAATTTTCTACTTCGCAGTTCCTTCTTAAGGTCAGGGGTCATTGCACCCAGCCCGTGGGCAGATCCTGCCCAGTGCCTGTTTTGGTGAATGAAGTTTCACAGGAACCCAGCCATGTCCATTCATAAATCTGTTTATGGCTACTTTCTCACTACTACAGTGAAGTTGAGTAATTGCAACAGAACTTGTTGCTCATGCGGCCTAATACACACACTTACAGATGTCTGATGCTTTGTAGAAAACCTTGACAGCTCATGGATCACACTACTTGACACATATGATGTTCCAGGGTGCACAAGTTCTTCCTCTGGGATTCAGAAGTCCATGGGTTGGCTTCAGACACTCCCTGACCTCCTGAAATTGGAAGTAAATAAGCATTGTCTTAGGGAAAAGTTTTCACCAGTTTTTTAAAAGATTCTATTTGGGGCACCGTGGCACACACCTGTAATCCCAGCTGCTGGGGAGGCTGAAACAGGAGTTCAAAGCCAGTCTCAGCAACCTACTGAGACCCTTAGCAACTCAGCAAAACCTTGTTTCTAAATAAAATATAAAAAGGGCTGAGGATGTGGCTCAGTGGTTAAGCGTCCCTGGGTTCAACCCCTGGCACACACAGATATACAAAAAAAATTCTGTGACTTTTCCCCACAAATGAGTTTTTGTTGTTGTTTTTCTCTATTTGTTTGTTTATTTGTTTGTTTTGAGATAGGGTCTCACTAAGTTGCCAAGGCTGGTCTTGAACTTGCAGTTCTGCCTCAGGCTGCGGAGTAGCTGGGATTACAAACCCAGCCCACCTCGCCTGGATGAATTAGTATCATTGAGTGTTGGATAAACATTACTGCAAATTGCTCAATTTCTAACAAAAGATCCTCTGTGAAAAGTACTTCACTGGGCCAGTTCGTCTGACCCACAGCTTTATGAGAGCAGGTGGCGCAAGACTGTAAATGAGAGCGATATAATAGTTATTGTCATGTTTTACATGTCTGGAATAAGCACTTCCCCAAATAAACATTTAAATGTACACAAGATCATAGGTAGCTGCGTCGAAAGGGAAGTCCATCAGGGCAGACGGTGGCCAGCGAATACAGCCCATGGCCTATTGTTATGTTGTTATTTTCTGTTGGCTCAAGTGCTTCTTCCATCAGACCATGACTCTTTGAGGACAGGAACCAAAAATAATTGCTCTCACAATTCCCAGGGCCTGGCACACAGGAGTTCAGCAAATGGTTCCCATATATATAAGAAGGGATGGATGGCTGAGCTACTTGCTGAGGTGGAATATTTTGTATCCATGCCTACGTGTGTGTTTATAGGGAACACATTAATAAAAGAAATGCATGTAAAAATGGTCTTGTAAACAAAATCTTATTTAGACGAAGGCACTAGAGCCAGAGTCTCATTTACCTGAGGATGCTCTCTTCCCTCTTAAAAATATCCCGTCCAGCTCTCTCAGGTCATGTTCACTGTCTGCATGCAAATGGAATGGAAATCATGTGGTATTCCTTTTGGGCTAAGATGTTAATATTAGATCAAGTCTGGCTGTTGTGAAAATTCACAAGATGGTTTTAATTCTTCATCACACTGGGTTTCTGTATGTGGTATTTAAAACAAATCCATTGACTTGATTCTCAAAGGACACCCCTCTTCTGGTGACAGTCCTCAGGCTGCACAGGTGTGCTCGGGAGCTGTTTCTCCAGGTTCAAGACAGGTCTGCCTGGGTTCTCAAGAGCTAGGAGGAAGAGGAAGTTCTGGTGCATGTTCAGAGGGCAGGCCTGACTGAAAAGAATGTTTATCCATCAAAGGAGCAAAGGCCGGTCAGTGACAGGATGGAGTCAGTCCAAGGCAGGAAGGGATTATGGTCACAGCTGAGGAAATCAGAGTGTCAGCTCCAAAGGGCGAGGCCCCTGCAAAAATGGCAGAAGGCAGAGCAAGAGCACATTCTGGAAGGAACACAGGTAGCTGGGGAACAAAAGCTAAGGAAGTGGCTCTGAACTAAAACTAGGACAGGCACATACATTGTGATTAAACCTAAGCCGGAACTCCCCAGTCATTGGAAAGGAATGGAGGTTCAGTGGAGCCGATCGAGGGTCAGGGCCATGGGTTAGCATTAAACAATACATGAGGAAGTATAAAGTCATAAGATACAGGGGCTAGACCATGAGCAGCTTATTAACAAGCCACCACAAATGGATGCTTTTGGAAAAAATGCAATTGCTGAGCATATTGAAAGTAATATCAAAAATTGCCACCAGGGTGGGAAAATGGTATAAGCTGGAATTGACCTTAAAGATAAAACTTCCAAGCATACAAACATAGATATGCTCAAGGTTATTCCATGCAGTGTTAATGACAGTAATTGAAAAGTCTTAAAAACATGCCCAAAGAGAGTGGTGAAATATATGATGGTACATCCATTTGGTGGAATATTAGGCCACTGTAAAAAAGAATGAAGACGCTTTCTGTGCAATGGTATGAAGTTATTTCCAGGACATATTGTAAGCTGAAACAACAAAAGTCTAAAGAGAATCACTGTGGTATGCTATCTGTTCTAAAAGAAAATTGGGAACTCTTAGAAATAGGCATCATATCTGCTTCTTTATTGCAAAATAAAACAGAGAAAGGCAATACCAGGAGAAATGAAGAGCAGACCTACAGAGGGACAGGTGGGATGGGTAGAAGTGATGAGGGGATGGGAATCAACAAGGAGTTCTGGGAGGATCGAACTGTCATCTGAACACACCTTCCTGGGTCATTTTCCCTCCTGAATTGTTCATGTTTTACATGCTCAATAGCAATTTTAAAATAATAGAAATCAGTAAGAATGGAGGAAAAAAAACCTAAAGTGTAATATAAACAGAAGCAGACAGCTGTGTTTCAACTGGATATAAGCATACTGAGGAAAGGGGGGAAAGAGAAGCTGCCCCAGTAAATTTTGAAAATAGTATTTTGATTAAAGAAAAAAACTGTAAACAAATAGAGAAGTCTAAAGGGAAGGTTTGAAGTAGGATTCTGTTTGTTTCCTTTTTATTATTATTATTATTTTGCTGCTTAGCAATTCTGAAACGACTCCTAAGTGTGTTCTAATGCAGAAAATAAATAAATTCCTTGATGGGAGCCAAGCTCCTTACTGTCAGAAAGGAGTTAAAAATATGGAGAACAGAAGGATGAATGTGTGAATGAAGAATATGGGGAAAGGAGAGAGAGTGAGTGTGTGTGTTGGATCAGTACTGGAGGACTCAAGATGAGCACATGGTCACAGAGAGGGGTCCACTGAGCTTGTTCTGCAGAAGACCAGATGAAAAGTACTTAACCCTCTTGCAGTAGCACCAAAGCAGCCACTAGACACTAGAGAAGCAAACAGTCCCAGCAGTGTTCCTATAAAACATGGTCTGGACACACTGAAATACAAATTTTATACAATGTGTCCTAAAAAATTGCATTTTTTTATCATTTAAAAATGGAAAAACCATTCTTAGTTTCCAGACTATACAAAAACAGGCAGCAGACCAGTCTTGGCCGATGGACTGCAGTTTCTGACCTGTTGATTGATAGCAAACATGATCAATTGTGTAAGGTGGGGAATCTGGATACAGAGGCTATACAAGAGTTCTTTATAGTCCTCTTGCGACTTTGCTATAAATCTGACATTATTTTTTAAATCACAAAAAGGTCCCTACTATCCACAGACACTGCTGAGAAGGAAATCATTTGCTTAAGGAACAAACACCTTCCTTTATATAATAAACCTCTCCCCCACTCTGTGGACCACGAGGAGGAGCTCCCACTATTGCTGTGGAGGGTTCCTGTCCGTAGCTGGGGCTGTCACCAGATGACAGCATCATTTTCCCCTGTTCATCCCTGTTCTCTGTCACTCTTGGTGAGTGATAAGGTCACGGGGCTGATAATTTATATATGACCTTGTGATTTTCTGTAATCAAGAATTTTTTGGTCTGCTATAATTAAAATGAACTAAATAAAAGGTGCTTATCAGAAACTGACCCATTAGCTTGAAGTCTGTGACAAATCCATTCTGACTTCCTTAAGGCATCATTAGAAATCAGTCACATAGCATGGTCACCTCTCTCATTCCACTAGCCATCATCTAGTGACAGCTATGAACAATAACTGGAAATCTCGTAAAATACTATGAGTAGGAGCTGAGTGAATTTTATATTAGAAATACACTTTGTGTCCCCGTGATCATTATGCCATTATGCCCCCAACAAGAACAACTTACAGGAGAAGAGGGTTATTTGGACCCAGAGTTTCAAGCCCTGGGCCTCAGGTAAGCAAGAGCATCATGGCAGAAGGACCTGGCAGAGAGGAAAGCTCTCAGCCAGGAAGCTGAGAGAGAGCTTGGGTGCCAGAAGCCAGGGATAATATAATCCCCCAGGATTACACTAATCCCCCAGTGTGTGCTGTTGGGACACCCCCAGGGACTTACCGCTGTGCCCTACTTCCTACAGTTACCACGGTGGAGCAATGTCCCGATTAGGTCACGACTCTCATAACCCCATCATTTCACCTCTGAACATCCCTGCACTGTCTCACACATGAGCTTTCCAGGGACACTTCATACCCAAACCATAAGAATTTGTAAGGAAACCTCTCTTGTATAAGCTGGCGATCATTCCACTCATCCTTTACTGGTTTAATTTCCACAAAACCAATTCCCACCTTGGCTTATCATTGCAGGTAAAACCACACCTTGCTCTTCACTGAGAACAGAGATGGTGGTGGCCTCGCTGAAATTCTGATGCAAATTGATGGCAAATGTTTTCCATCCATTTTTTTTCCATTTCATTCTAAAACAAACTCCGAAGTACTATCATTGTCTCCTTTACACAGATGAAGCTTAGCAATATCAAGTGACTCGACCCAGTTTTCACTTGATTGGAACTGGCCTTAGGAGCCAGTGCTCTTAGCTGTTGGTTAGGACAATGAGAAATACAGAAATTCAGAGAGGAGTCGCTGAGTCATGCAGACGTGCTTCTGTTGAGAAGGAAAGGGTAAGCAGTGCACAGAGCTGGTCCCAAGGCCAGAGCTAGAATTCACAGTGACCCGCTGACCCACCTACAGAGCTCAGGAGCAAGTGGGGAAGTGAAGAGGCTTGAAGTCTAAGCACACAGGACTCAGGCCTTCTGGAAGTCACCACCTTCAGTTGTACCCACCCAGGTGTCTACACCTGGTGGTAGGGAAGGAAGGAGGCAGGAAGAGCCTGGGAAATGAAGTTGGAATTTGAGCAAAGGGACAGGGGATGCGGGAGGGCCTGCAGGAGTGGTTTTGTCCCATTCATAAGGAGAGACTGAAAAGCAGCCACTCAGGCTAACTGCCTTCTCCCCTTCTGTTGCCACCTG